TGAGACATTTGTTATTGTTTTGTTTTGGCCTCCAAAACAACCACATAAGGAAAAAATAAATGAAAATCCTGTGAATGTTTGAATCTTTCTGTGTTTATTCTTTCTACCTGTGAACAAAACAAATATTTTATACGTGTGAAAACATCTTGTTTTTTCCACAAGAGACGCTAAGACCCAGCACTGAGGACAAAAGGAAGCAAGCTCTGCATATTCTAAGGGCTACAAACTATGGTCCATCCTCTGGGCCAGCCCTCTCCTCTCCGGGCTTACTCAGAGTGTGGTGGGTAAGCATAGCACTTAAAGACAGGGCACTTTGGGAGGTCAAGGAGGGTGGATCACTTGAGCCCACGAGTTCGAGACCAGTCTGGGCAACATGGTGAAACACTGCCTCTACAAAAATTACAAAAGATGAGCTAGACTAATTTTAGTATTCACCCAGCAGACTAACGTGGTGGTTTCCAAAGTATAGTCTGCAGGCCCCCTAAGGGTATTTATGACCCTTTTAGGAGGTTCACGGGGTCAGAATTTTTCATAATAATACTAAGCCTTTCCCACTCCCATTCACACATCAGTGTATCTCGGAGTTTTTTTAGAGACTATACAATGAGTGATATCGGTCTGATGTCTAATAGAATGTATGCTGCTTTTTTTTTTTGAGACAGGGTCTTGCTCTGTTGCCTAGGCTGTGTGGTGGAGTGCAGTGGCAGATCATGGCTCACTGCAACCTCTAACTCCTGGGCTCAAGCTATCCTCCACCTCAGCCCCTCAAGTAGCTGTGACTACAGGTGTATGCCAACACACCCAGCTAACTTTTGTATTTTTTTGTAGAGACAGGGTTTTACCATGCTGTCTAGACTGGTCTCAAACTCTTGGGCTCAAGGGATCCACTCGCCTCGGTCACCCAAAGTGCTGGCCTGCTTCAGTATTGTTGGGTTTTAAATATTTCTATTTCCATCAGTGGTTGCCAGAGGTTGAAGGTGGGTAAAGGTGGGGGGGTGGTGAGTACAAAGAGCCAGGGGGTCACTTGCAGGCAATGGTGATTCCATATCTTGATTCATCTGAGGTCAGGAGATCGAGACCAGCCTGGCCAACCTGGCGAAACTAAAAATACAAAAATTAGCTGGGCCTGGTGTCACCCACCTGTAGTCCCAGATACTCAGAAGGCTGAGGCAGGAGAATCGCTGGAACCTGGGAGGCAGAGGTTGAAGTGAGCCGAGATTGCCCCACTGCACTCCAGCCTGGGTGACAGAGGGAGAAGGAAGGAAGGAAAGGAGGGGAGGGGAGGGGAGTGGGGGAGAAAGGGAGGGAAAGGAGGGAAAGGAAGGAAGGGAGGAAGGGGAGGAAAAAAAGAGAGAGAGAGAGAAAGAGAGAAAAAGAAAAAAGGAAAGAAAGAGGAAGGAGTGAGGGAGGGAAAAGAAAGAAGAGAAAGAAATTTGATATAAAACAGATTATTCTTTAAATGTAGGGGTGTGACTTAACCCTTGCCCGGCATAACCTTAGATATTGTTTATATTTTGATATCTTATTGCTACAGAGTCCACTCTGTCTGTCTTATGATCACTGTTTTAGCATCAGTGCTGGTCAGTTGTGGCTGAACTTCTAAAGGAAGATAGTGTATATAATGAGGCATGTCTGAACTCCCATTTCATCATGGCTGGGAACTCAGTGTTTAAGGTTTCTCGAAGGTCCCCCTTGCCAAGAGGGGGCCCTTTCAGTCAGTTGGGGGCTTAGGATTTCTAGTTTACATTGTGTTCACTGGAGTAGCACTTTTAATTTCCTTCAGGAAATTTTCCTTTGAATTCACAACTTGGCTAAATATTAGGTACAAGGAGCCTAGCCGTCAGCCTGTCTTGACTTTTGACCTGCCTTTTTCACTGAACTTCATCATTTCTAGCTTTTGATTTAAAGTGAGAGATATTCGACTCTTCCTATCCCTCAAACATTTAGAGGCCATTGTGAGGTTATTAATTGACTGAAATTCAATATTGTTGTGTCTGGACTAGGGAGACCTGAGAAGAGGGAGAGAGAGGTGGGAACAGCCAGTCAGTGGAGCACTTACAACACACACAGTACTGTTAAGTTGGCTGTCTTACATGAATGCCGTTTGTGGCACCCCAAAACAATTACAATAGAACATCAAAGACCACTGATCACAGATCACCTTAATAGGCATAATAATAATGAAGAAGTTTGGGGCTGGGTGCAGTGGCTCACTGCCTGTAATCCCAACACTTTGGGAGGCCAAGGCAAGCAGATCTCCTGAGGCAGGAGTTCAAAACCAGCCTGGCCAACATAGTGAAACCCTATCTCTACTAAAAATGCAAAAATTAGCCGGGCATGGTAGCGTGTGCCTGTAATTCCAGCTATTTGAGTGGCTGAGGTACAAAAATGGCTTGAACCCCTGGAGGTGGAGGTTGCAGTGAGCCAAGATTGTGCCACTGCACTCCAGCCTGTGTGACAGAGTGAGACCCTATCTCAAAAAACTAAAGAAAACAAGTTTGAAATATTGCAAGAATTACCGGGATGTGGTACAGAGACACGAAGTGAGCACATGCTGTTGAAAATGGTCCCAATAGACTTGCTGTAGTCAAGGTTGCCACAAACCTTGAACTTGTGAAGCACAAGAAAGTGAAGTGCAATAAAACAAGATATGCCTACATACCTCAATTTTAAAGAAACAAAAATTCTGAATTTGAATTTCTCTTCTTTCTTTCTTTCTTTTTCTTTCTTCCTTTCTTTCTTTTTTTTTTTTTTTTGTTGTTGTTGTTGTTGTTGTTGTGGTTGTTTTGAGATGGAGTCCCGCTATGTCGCCCAGATTGGAATGCAGTGGCATGATCTCAGCTCAATGCAAACTTCACCTGCTGGGTTCAAGAAATTCTCCTGCCTCAACTTCCCGAGTAGCTGGGACTACAGGAGTATGCCACCATACGTGGCTAATTTTTTGTATTTTTAGTATAGATGGGGTTTCACCATGCTGGCCAAGCTGATTACCTCAGGTGATCCAGCCACCTCGGCCTACCAAAGTGCTGGGATTATAGGTATGAGCCATAGCACCCAACTCCACAGTTTTAATTTCTAACAGGATACAATTAGATATGAACAAAATCCCTGAATCCTTTTTAAGCTTACAAGGAGATCCTGAGAACAAAACTTTGAGAACCGCTGATCTAACACATTGATTTCTTTTGTTTGTTTTGTTTCTGTAGTTTGGGCTACAGGTATGCGACACCATCCCCAGCATGAATGCAATTACTCAGTCCAAAGTCGGAGAAAGTGATTCAAAGAGAGCAAAACTCTCCCTGGCCCTAACCCTTTATAAACTGTGCTGTCCAATACAGTAGCTGCTGGCCACTTGTGGCTATTGAGCACATGAAAAGTGGGTACTCCAAATTGAGAGGTACTTACTACCAAAAAAAAAAAAAAGAATGTAAATTATCTCATCAATAATTTTCAGATAGAAATGACAATTTTTTTTTCTTTTTTTGGTAGCCATGGGTTCTTGCTGTGTTGCCCAGGGTAGTCTTGGACTCCTGGCCTCAAGCCATCCTCCCACCTTGGCCTCCCAAAGTGCTGGGATTATAGGCATAAGCCACTGCACCTGGCCCAAAATTTTAAACATATTGGGTCGAGGAAAATATATTGTTAAAATTAATTTACCTCTTGCTTTTTTTTTTTTTTTTGAGACAGAGTCTCCCTCTGTCACCCAGGCTGGAGTGCAGTGGTGCAGTCTTGGGTCACTGCAGCCTCTGCCTCCCAGATTCAAGCGATTCTCCTGCCTCAGTGTCCCAAGTAGCTGGGATTACAGGCACGTGCCAGCACCCCCCGAAAATTTTTGTGTTTTTTAGTAGAGACAGGGTTTCACCATATTGACCAGGCTGGTCTCGAACTCCTGACCTCAAGCAATCCACCCACCTCGGCATCCCAAAGGGCTGGGATTACAGGCGTGAGCCACCATGCTTGGCCTCTTGTGTTTTTTTGTTAGTTTTTTTTTGTTGTTTTTTTTTTTTTTTGAGATGGTGCCTCACTCTGTGACTCAAGCTGGAGTGCAGTAGCATGATCTCAGCTCTGTGCAACCTCCATCTCCTGGGTTCAAGCAATACTCCTGCCTCAGCCTCCTGAGTAGCTGGAATTACAGGTGCCTGCCACCACGCCTGGTTAATTTTTGTATTCAGTAATTTTTGTATTTTCACCATGTTGGCCAGACTGGTCTTGAACTCCTGACCTCAGGTGATCCACCAGCCTCGGTCTCCCAAAGTGCTGGGATTACAGGCGTAAACCGCAGCATCCAGGTTAGCTCTTGCTTTTTACTTTAATGTGGCTACTGGAAAATGTAAAATTACCTGTGTGGCTCCTGTATATTTCTGTTGGAGAGTACTCTTCTGGAGATACACAGACTGAAATGCCAATCTCTTTTCACCACTTACAAGTTGTGTCAAAAACTTACTATCTCTTTAAATATTTTGGGTTCCCTGAGATGTAAAATGTGGGTAATGTAGAGCTGGTGTGAATATTAAATGTAAATAACGCATGTGACATGCTTAGCTCTATACCTAGCACCTAAGTAAACAATAAGTTTGTTGGCTATTATTATTAAAGACGTTGGTTTCTCTACTGATATCATCATAGATGAGACTCATGCGCATTAAAGTTCCTTCCTTTATGACCTATTTCCACTCTGGCCACAATAATAACTAATTATAGCAGAGGCCTGACCCGACTTTTGGCCTGGGGCCTCTTCTCCACATCGAAAATTTCAAATCATGACCCAGGGTCCATCCTAGAAGCGTGCCATCTATATTTATGAATGAATGGAGCCTAATCAAAATCTGAAAACCAAGCCGCCCTGGGCAGCTGAGCCTAGCGTAGCAACCGATGCCGGCGCCTGTTGCTACAGGAAACGAAAAAAAAATTGTGGTCCGTCAGCTATTGCTCTCCGGCGCCAGCTACTTCCGATCCCCATAGGCGCGGTCCTGCGGTCTACCTTCCGCCGAAGTGCTGGGACTGCGGCCGCAGGTTCCGCTGTCTCGGGAACCTTCGTAGCCCTCGGTCCGGCGGCGGCGGCGGCGGCGGCGGCGGCAGTAGCGGCGGAGGCGGGTTCAGGCCTCCGGTGCGGCCGCAATGCTGAGCTCCCGGGCCGAGGCGGCGATGACTGCGGCCGACAGGGCCATTCAGCGCTTCCTGCGTACCGGAGCGGCTGTCAGGTGAGCTTTTGGGGGGCGGGGCGGCCGAAGAGGCCGGGACCAAGGTCTTCAGCTTGGGCCCGTGACGGCTTTTTCATGCCCTAGTTGGGGTCCCAGGGCCTGCACGGGCAGTCCGGAAGCTTCTGCATCCTTTAGGGTTGGAGGCCTGTGCCCTTAGGTGGGAGACGGGACGGGCCTCCAGTCCTTCGGCAACACAGATGCTGTCTGCACTCCCCGGGTCTGTCGGTCCCTCCCCCTCCTGTCATTGTTCGCAGGACACCCAGGGCCCTCCCGTCTTGCCAAGGCCCCGAATTCTATCAGTGCCCCCAGTCCTTTCGGTGCCTCTAGGCCCCGAATTCTGTCAGCGCCTCAGTCCTTCTGGTGGTATACCCTCAATCCTTCTGGGTCCCCCACTCATAATTATGTTTCTGGACCTCCAGGGTTCCCCAATCTTGGCGTGGTTCTTACAGTCCTATAAGTGCCCCGGGCCTGCACGCCCTGCGTTTTCTGAGTACCTCCCCCTATTCCTGTCAGCTCGCCCTCTAGTCTAATACGGATCCCCACTTCTGCCTGGGTTCTCGATGTTATTAGAGTGAGTAAAGGCCCTTATTTTGCAAGGGTTCCTAAATTGGTGAAGGCCCCTTTAACCTCTTAAGGTTGCTTGGTCTTGTTAAGGCTCTTTCGTTTTTGTTAGGACTCCTTGATTGCCTGGGTTCCCAGTCGTATCAGGGCCCCCATTTCCCTCTTATTTACCCTCCCAAGGGTTCCTGCTTTCAGAACTGAGTCCTCCCTCCCCCACTGCTGACCCCAAATGACTGAGACCTGTTGCTCACGGCGGCTTCCTCTGGAACTGGAGCAAGTCTAAAGAGCTTATTATCCCAGGGCTGAAAGTCCTCAATAGCTATCCTGTCTAGTGCCCCCGTTCTGCAGGTGGGAAGTGTGGCCCCACAGCTAACCTGATAGCAGAGCTGAGAGGAGAAGCCAGATCTTTTCATCCTTAGGCCTCACCACTCTCCTGGGGATGTCATTTTGCAGAGGAATGGAGTTTCCAAAGTCACCACTTGTCCCTGGGTGCTTTTTCCTTACGCAGCTAATGACATGGACGAGACCTCTCTCCCATCCCCTCTACACTCTTTCCTTCAATTGCCATCTTGAACTTTGTGGTTTTAAGCACAGACTTGGGAGACAAACAGGCGTGATTCAGAGCCATGTTCCTTTACTCACTGTGACGAAATTGGGGACTTAGTTTCTTCAGCTATAAAAATGAAAGTGGTAGGCTGGGTGTGGTGGTTCACGCCTATAATCCCAGCACTTTGAGAGTCCGAGGCGGGCGGATCACAAGGTCAGGAGTTTGAGACCAGCCTGACCAACATGGTGAAACAGCATCTCTACTAAAAATACAAAAAATTAGCCGGGCGTGGTGGTGCACGCCTGTCATCCCAGCTACTCAGGAGGCTGAAGGAGGAGAATCACTTGAACCGGGGAGGCAGAGGTTACAGTGAACCAAGATCATGTCACTGCACTCCAGCCTGAGTGACAAAGTGGTGAGACTCCGTCTCAAAAAAAAGAAAGAGAGAAAAAAGAAAAGAAAAAAAAGAAAGAAAGTGATAGTAGAACTTGCTTCTGTGGGGTTGTTTTAAAAATAAGATAAGATTGTTAAAGGGCCTGGCATAGAGTATGCACCCATAAATATTAGTGTTTGATAAGGGGATTTTAAGGCACTGGCAAAGTGCTTTAGTATTCAATAACAGTCCTTTTAACCTTAGTAGCCACTTTTGTGAACTCATGTATCATTGTATTGTGTAAAAGCACAGTGATGCATTAAGAATCTTCAAGAATACCTTTCGCTGTCTGGGCGATTACACCTGTAATCCCAGGACTTTGGAAGGCTGAGGCAGGCAGTTTGCTTGAGCTCAGGAGTTCAAGACATCCTGGGCAACATAGTGAGGTCTTGTCTCTACAAAAGAATTTTAAAATTATCTGGCTGTGGTGGTGTGCACTTGTGGTCTCATCTACTCGGGAGGCTGAGGCAGGAGGATCACTTGAGCCCAGAAGGTGGAGGCTGCGGTGAGCTGAGATGGCACCACTGCACTTTAGCCTGGGCACTAGAGCACGATACTGTCTCAAAAAAACAAAAACAAAACAAAAACAAAAAAAGAACAAAAGGAAAGAAAGAATGGTTTTCATGAATGAACCTGAGATTATAATGCTTAATTTGTAGCAACTAACATTTATTAAGTTCTTACTGTGTACTCTATGCATTCACACTTATTTAATCCCACAACAACCCTGTGAGGTAGGTCTTATGGATTGTCCCCATCGTACAGATGAGGAAGCTAAGGCTTAGAAGGTGAAATTATGCCGAATGAAGTAGCAAAGCCAGGACTGAACCAGAATAGTGGGATCCCACTTTCTTCACCAAGTTTGGTGCATATTCTGTTGACTCTGTCTTGAAAAACAAATATTTATCTAAAATTTAGCTATCAGCTATGACACTAGGAAATGCTGATTATAAAATAGAGTCACTATTGTCACCAGTGACTCTAGTTAATGTTTACTGAAGTTAATGTTTAATGAACTGAAATCAAAATAATATTCACATGATCCAAATATTGAGATAATAATGTATTACACACACACAAACAAGTATATATACATGGGCAACACATATGCAGATATGTATCACAAAGCTATATACACATAGATGGTTTGCCTTATTTTGTAGAAATACATAACTTTGTATAAAAACAATGTTTTAAATTGCTGGTGAAATTTCTTAATTTGTAGCAAAAGAATAACTTCAGTATTCAAGTCAAGCCTGAAGTTAAGAAGCCTTTAACTTCATAAATACTCAGCTCTTTCATACCATTGTATGTGTGCCCCTTCCCTGTCTAATATTCTAAAAGAGAAATTCATTTCTGTATATTTTCTCCAGTATTCAGTCATTCAATAAATGTTATTGAGAACCTACTATGTGCCAAGCATGATCTAGACATTTGAGCTTGTTAGTTAGTAAAACAAAGTACATGCTAGCTGAGGGAGACAGACAACAAACCCAGTGCATTAAAAAAGAAAGAAAACAAACAAACGTAGTGAATAAATGAATGTTTTGTTAGAAGCTGGTAAGTACTATGGTAAAAAGAAAAAGTAGAATCATGTCAAGGGGACCAGGACAGGTCCCGATGATGTGTTCTGGTAGGCCTCTTGCGAAGCGAAGGGAGGTAAAGGAGTCAGCTAAGCAGTGATCTGGGGGAAGAGCAATCTGAGCAGAGGGAAGAGCAGTGCAAAGGCCTTGAGGTTGGAGCACTGGCTGGTGACATTCTATGAGGAAGTGGAGTGAGAGGCAGAAGGTAACCTCAGTTTTTTCTCAGAGAGAGAAGTAGCCTTTAGAATGTTATGATCTGACTTAGGTTTTTGTTGTTGTTGTTGTTGTTTTGTTGTTGTTTGTTTGTTTTTGTTCGTTTGTTTGTTTGAGACTGAATCTTGCTCTGTCACCCAGGCTGGAGTGCAATGGTGCAATCTCAGCTTACTGCAACCTCTGCCTCCTGGATTTGAGTGATTCTCCTGCCTCAGCCTCCCGAGTAGCTGAGATTACAGGTGCACATCACCGTGCCCAGCGAATTTTTGTGTTTTCAGTAGAGACAGGGTTTCACCATGCTTCCCAGGCTGGTCTCAAACTTTGAGGTTCAAGGGATCCACCTGCCTTGACTTCCCAAAGTGTTGGCATTGTAGGCATGAGCCACTGTCCCCGGCTGACTTAGATTTTAAATCCTAATGTCTAGACATCCTGATTTTCAAGATGTAATCCTATGACTATATATCACTTTAACTTGAAATTAGGTTTAATGGGTTATTTTGACAAAATGTTATTCTGTTTATATCTGTATATTCGCGTATTGTGTTTGCGTTGAGGGAAGACAGTAAACTTGTTTTCTTTTTTAGATATAAAGTCATGAAGAACTGGGGAGTGATAGGTGGAATTGCTGCTGCTCTTGCAGCAGGAATATATGTTATTTGGGGACCCATTACAGAAAGAAAGAAGCGTAGAAAAGGTAAGAATGAGAACACTGCACCGTGGTCTTTAGACTTGACCCAAATCCCTATTATCCGAAAACAGCTCAAAGAATTGAGGAGGTTGGTCATGTTTGTTCTCTGTATCTTTAAAATGATGACTTCGGGTTTTGAAACAGTACTTTTACCATTAGCCATTACTTTATATCCTGTAGTAAAAACATTTCTATTTCAGCCCCTCTCCAGACTGGAGTCTGAGGCATGCTTTGTAATGAAAAATGTCAAACGGCGTAATTGTCTTAAGTGTTCTCATTAATATGGCAATTGTATTTTTCAGTAGTGCAAACTGACTGATTACATCATACATTTGTGTTCTCTTGGGCTAGCTTACTAGGAACTGGTAAAAATTTCAAGTGAATGCCTTCATTACTAAAATGTTATTTTCTTATTTTTAAAAAATGCTCTCTTTTGTAAATGTTGCTCTATTTAACATTGATTAAAATTCAGCAAAGAAAAAAGAAGAAATGTAGCGAAAAGAAGAATGTAGCAAAATTTGATAATTGTTAAATCTGGGGACAGTTATAATTGAGGTTAATTATACATTCTCCTTCCTTGTGTGTGTCTTTGAGGACTTTGATAATAAAAAGTTTTTTCAAAAAGATTTCCAGCAGAAGAAAGAATTGTATTAGACTATGTTGATCTCTGCAGAAAGCCTGATCAGAATTGGTATAGTGGTGTCTTTCCCAGTGATTGTTAAGATAAGAACAGAGTCATTGAACTGGGGAAGTAACAACAGAACAATTGTTTTCTTCTGTTCTGAGAAACATTGCTTTCTGATTAAAGAAGAAAGAGAGCATGTGAGGGAGAATGAGGAAGAGAAAAAGACAGGAGATGGTTACTAAGTGTTTTTATACATTTGGAAAGAACCAAGCAATGCTAGATACCATGATAAGTTTCAAAAATAACATACAAGGGGGATCTGTCCTTCTGCGCTTACAGTCTGCAGGAGCAGTACTAGAACCAAGCCTTGGCACAGACAGAAGGCCTGGACGCCAGATCTCTGTGGATAAGGATCTTCTTGGGTTAGGATTCCAAATTTAAGGCCACAGTGATGGAACTCTGGGTCCCAAATGGGAGAGAAATGTGTCAAATGTGATAAGCTGTTCTCATCTCCCCCCTGCTTCATTTTAGGGCTTGTGCCTGGCCTTGTCAATTTAGGGAACACCTGCTTCATGAACTCCCTGCTTCAAGGCCTGTCTGCCTGTCCTGCTTTCATCAAGTGGCTGGAAGAGTTCACCACTCAGTACACCAGGGATCAGAAGGAGCCCCCCTCACATCAGTATTTGTCCTTAACACTGTTGCACCTTCTGAAAGGTATCTAGATGGGAATTTCAAGGGGATTATGTACCTTTTCAAAGAAGTCCAGATGACAAAGAATTAATAGCCTTATTGTAGGAAAAGATCATATAGGTCATTATACAAAAAAACAAAACAAAGCACTAAGAGCCCAATAGATACAAAAAGGTGTTTTTTAAAAAACAAAGATGGAACCACTTATTTTTTAAATTGTCAATTTAATAGCAGCTTTTTAAGGAAGGAAGGAAATCCATTGCCACATAAACAGTTTCATTGTAAGAAGTACTCTGGTTTCAAACACATTAAAGTGAAAAAAAAAAATCTGGCTGGGTGCAGTGGCTCACACTTGTAATCCCAGCACTTTGGGTGTCTGAGGCAGGCAGATCATAAGGTCAAGAGATCGAGACCATCCTGACCAACACGGTGAAACCCCATCTCTACTAAAGATACAAAAAAAAAGTTACCTGGGTGTGGTGGCGCGTGCTTGTAGTCCCAGCTACTTCGAGGCTGAGGCAGGAAAATCACTTAAACCCAGGAGGTGGAGGTTGCAGTGAGCTGAGATTGTGCCGCTGCACTCTAGCCTGGTGACAGAATGAAATTCTGTCTCAAAAAAAAAAAAAAAAAGTCCATTTTACCTAGAAAATAAGGTAATTCACAAAAGAAGTAATACAAACTGCTAACAAACTCAAATGTTCAACTTGACCATCATCAAAGAAGTATAAACAAAATAAAAGTGCAATTTTCTACCTGTCAGCAAAGATTAAAAAACAGATTTGCAGCCCTGGCTAGCTGTTAGACAGTACATCCATATGCTGCCAACAGGGGTGTAACTTAGTGCAACATTTCTGGAAAGCAGTTTGTAACTACACAATAATAGCTTGTGAAATATTCAGTACCATTTGACCTAGTAATTCCATGTCTGGGAGTCTGTCTGCCTTATGAAAATGGTTAGAAACGTGGATTGTGACTTAACTAGCTTGAAAAATGGAGTCCTAAAAGCAAGTTTAGGAATGGCTGCATGGTGGCCCCCAACTTGCAGAGTCACAATATACACTGGCTTGTAAAGTTTTTAAGAAAAACCTACCCAACATTATTTATTTATTTAGGAATCTCACCTTGTTGCCCAGGCTGGAGTGCAGTGGTGCAATCTCAGCTCACTGCAAACTTCACCTCCTGGGTTGAAGTGATTCTCTTGCCTCAGCCTCTTTAGTAGCTGGGATGACAGATCTCTGCCACCACACCCAGGTGATTTTTTTGCATTTTTGGTAGAGACAGGGTCTTGCCATGTTGACTAGGCGGGTCTCGAACTCATGGCCTCTAGTGATCTGCCTGCCTCAGCCTCCCAAAGTGCTGGAATTACAGGCATGACCCACTGCACCTGGCCTCAACTTCTATTTTATTTTATTTGATTTGATTTTTGAGACAGTCTTGTTCTGTTGTCCAGGCTGGAGTGCAGTGGCACAATCTTGGCTCACTGCAACCTCTGCCTCCCAGGTTTAAGCAATTCTCCTGTCCCAGCCTCCCTTGTAGCTGGGATTACAGGTGCATGCCAACCACATCTGGCTGATTTTTATATTTTCAGTAGAAATGGCATTTCACCACTTTAGCCAGGCTGGTCTCAAACTCCTGACCTCAGTTGATCTGCCTGCCTTGGCCCAAAGTGGTGGGATCACAGACATGAGTTACCACGCCCAGCCCAAATTCATTTTTAAACCAACTTTTTTGACTGTAGAACTGTTTTTTTTTTTTCTTCACAACATCCGCTGACATTCCATGGATATTATATAGAGCACGATGTATGCACAAAGATCTCCAATACCTAATTATAATGACAATAAAGAGAAATAATGTAGATATCTAACAGAATGATTAAGCAATCACCTCTGGCCATAGTACCCTGAACATACCTGATCTCATCAGACGTCTGAAGCTAAGCAGGGTAGGGCTTGGCTAGCACTTAGATGGGAAAATGATTACGCAATCGATGGCATACAGCCATTAAGAATCGCTTTTATGAATTTTTTTTGTAATTTGGGAGAAGGCGTAGGCTGTAATATTAAATTTAATGAGCAGCATAGAAAATATAATTTGACTTCATCAGGCAGGAACTTCCACAGATAAAGGCTGCACTGATAAAGGCTCAAATGTTAGCAGTGGTCATCTTGGGATTGCGCAGTCATTAGCAGTTTTAAACATCATTTTTGGGAAAAAACTATACTTCTACTTTTAACAATAAGGATATATTGCTCTCACTGTAAGGAGAAAATTGGGTTTAAAAAACATTCAGCTAAATCTTGCTTCACTGAGTTATTTTCCCATGTGAGCTCTGCTTGACACAGAAATCATTATGAAGTAAATGTACTTTTCTGTAGAAGAGGTGACTTGAGAATAATTTCTTTTACTATCCTGTTTTTCTTGTTTTAGCCCATTTCTGGTTTAGATTAAAAAAAAAAAAAGTGCAACTTGCTGCCAGTGTTCATCTAATTTTACGTAAACATGCTCTTTGAGGCTGAAGCAAATCTGACTGATTTTAAATGTGAAAATATAAAAACTGTTCTTGTAGTTCTTTCTTTTTTTTTTGAGACAGAGTCTCGCTTTGTCACTCAGGCTGGAGTACAGTGGCGCAATCTCAGCCCACTGCAACCTCCACCTCCCTGGTTCAGGCGATTCCCCTGCCTCAGCCTCCTGAGTACCTGGAATTACAGGCACCTACCATCACACCAGGCTAATTTTTGTATTTTTAATAGAAACAGGGTTTCATCAGGCTGCTCTCGAACTCCTGACTTCAAATGATCCACCCGCCTCAGCTTCCTGAAGTGCTAGGATTATAGGCGTGGGACACCATGCCCAGCCTTTTCTTTTTGGTTTTATTTTTGTTTTGTTTTGAGGCAGAGTCTTGCTTTGTTACCCAGGCTGGAGTGCAATGGCACAATCTCAGCTCACTGCAACCTTTGCCTCCTGGGTTCAAGTGATTCTCCTGCCTCAGCCTCCTGAGTACCTGGGATTACAGGCGCCCGCCACCAGACCTGGCTATTTTTTTTTTTTTTTTTTTTTTTTTTTTTTTTTTGTATTTTTAGTAGAGACGGAGTTTTACCATGTTGGTCAGGCTGGTCTTGATCTCCTGACCTTAGGTGATCCATCCGGCCTCCCAAAGTCTGGGATTATAGGCGTGAGCCACCACGCCTGGCCCCTGGCCTTTAAAACAAATTTTTTTTTAAATAGGGGTGGGGTCTTTCTATGTTGACTGAGATGGTCTCAAGCTCCTTACCTCAAGTGACCCTCCTTACTCAGTCTCCCAAAGTGCTGGGACTACGGGGGTAAGCCACCACACCCAGCCATGTTCTTGGAGTTATTTCTAAATAGAACTTGTCTATGTGTATGATGTTACATTAGGATTAGAGAAAGGAGTATTCTTGGGGAAAATGGGAAATGGGTTAAAAACACCACTCCAAAGATTATGTGAAAGCTGAAATGTCCACATGAGTTACCCTAATCTTGACCTCAGCACTGCCCTTATTGTTCACATGGGACCCAGTGCTAGGAGCCAGAGCCATCCTTGGGCTGCTATCTCAGGATGTCTGCTCCCTTTTCTGCTGCTTTCCAATGCCTCTTACTTTGGTTTTTGGTTTTTTTAAAAAAAAAAATTTTTTTTTTTTTTGAGATAGGGTTCTGCTGTGTCATCCAGGCTGGAGTGCAGTGGCGCAACCCCAGCTCACTGCAACCTCTGCCTCCCAGGCTCAAAATGATACTCCCACCTCAGCTTCCCATGTAGCTAGGACTACAGGCACATGCCAGCATGCCCGGCTAATTTTTTGTGTTTTTGGTAGAGACAAGGTTTTGACTTGTTGCCCAGGCTGGTCTCGAACTCCTGAGCTCAAGCAATCTGCCCACCTTGGTCTCCCAGAGTGCTGGGGTTTCAGGCAAGAACCACTATGCCTGGCATATAAATAGTTTTTAATTATACAAGTAATGCATGAATCGTTCTCTTTTTAAAAAATTAAAGCATTGGGCCGGGCGCGGTGGCTCAAGCCTGTAATCCCAGCACTTTGGGAGGCCGAGGCGGGTGGATCACGAGGTCGAGAGATCGAGACCATCCTGGTCAACATGGTGAAACCCCGTCTCTACTAAAAATACAAAACATTAGCTGGGCATGGTGGCGCGTGCCTGTAATCCCAGCTACTCAGGAGACTGAGGCAGGAGAATTGCCTGAACCCAGGAGGCGGAGGTTGCGGTGAGCCGAGATCGCGCCATTGCACTCCAGCCTGGGTAACAAGAGTGAAACTCCGTCTCAACCAAAAAAAAAAAAAAAAAAAAAAAAAAAAAAAAATTAAAGCATTACAGAGAATCCAAAGTCCCCTTTGTCAATTCTCCTATCCTGCTCCCCTCCACCTTTCCCAAAAGGAAGCTATAGGTAGATCCTTCCAGACCCTTTTCTGTGTATTTAAATATGTTTGTATGCATCCATATAAATGATGTATTTTGTTATTTGTTTTTGTTTTTGTTTTTTGTTTTTTGCACTCCACCCCAGGCTGGAGTGCAATGGCACAGTCTTGGCTCACTGCACCTCAGCCTCCTGGGCTCAAGCTATCCTCCCACCTCATCCTCCTGAGTGGCTGGGATGACAGGTTCATGCCACCACACCCGGCTAATTTTTGTATTTTTAGTAGAGATGGGATTCCACTATGTTGGCCAGGCTGGTCTGGAACTCCTGGGCTCAAGCCATCTGCTTGCCTCAGCCTCCCAAAGTTCTGGAATTACAGGCATGAGCCACTGCACCTGGCCTGTATATTGTTTTGTTTTGTTTGTGATTTTCATGGCCAAATATAATAAGCATTAGAGAAGCGTCCATTTTAGTACATGTAGCTCTACCTCCTTCACTGTTTCTTTTTTGAGTGTATTGGTCTTAGAGTTTGTCTGTGAATTGCTTGTTTATATCCTTTGCCTACTTTTAAAAACTGTGGCAAAATATCCGTAACATAAAATTTACCATTTTCACCAGTTTGAAGTGTGTAGTTCAGTAGATTAATACAGCCACACTGCTGTACAGCAGTCACCGCCATCCCTTTCCAGAACTCTTCATCATCCCATACTGAAACTCTATCCACAAAACAGTCACTCTCATTCTCCCCTCCCCCAGCCCTTGGTGACCACTGCCCTATTTTCTCTCTCTTTGAATTTGACTCAGACCTCATTAAGTGGTGAGTTTCCTCATCTATAAGATGTATCTCATTAAGTGGACTCATGTAATAGTCATCCTTTTTTAACTGGCATATTTCACTTAAAGTCTTCAGGATTCATTTATGTTATAGCATGTATCAGAATTTCATTCCCTCTTAAGACTGAATAATCTTTTTTTTTAATATGAAGTCTCACTCTGTCACCCAGGCTGGAGTGTAGTGGTGTGATCTTGGCTGATTGCCACTCCATCTCCCAGATTCAATTGATTCTCCTGCCTCAGCCTCCCGAGTAGGTGAGATTACAGACATGCACCACCATGCCTGGCTAATTTTTTGTATTTTTAGTAGAGACAGGGTTTTACCGTGTTGGCCTGGCTGGTCTCGAAATTCTGACCTCAAGTGATCCGCCCACCTTGGCCTACCAAAGTGCTGGGATTACAAATGTGAGCCACCGTGCCCAGTCTGGGCTAAATAATATTCTGTTGCATGTATATGCAGCATTGTGTTTGTCTATCCATCAGTCAGTGGATATTTGGCTTGTTTTCATTCTTTGGCTATCATGCATAATGCTGCTGTGAACATTATTCATGATAGCCAAAGAATGAAATTAAGCCAAGTGTTTAAGTCCCTGCTTTCAGTTATTTTCTGTAAATACTCAGAATTGCTGGATCAAATGGTAATTCTGTTAATTTTTTGAGGAGCTGCTGTGCTGTTTTCTACAGATGGTGCACAGTTTTATAATTCACCAGCAATGCACAAACGTTCCAGTTTCTCCTCACCAATACATGTTTTCTGTTTTTATTGATAGTAGCCATCCTAATGGTATGGTATCATTTTCATTTGCATTTCCCTAATGATAAGTTACATGGAGCATATTTTCATTTGCTTATTGGCCATTTTGTGTATCTTTTTTCTTTTTTGGAGAAATGTCTGTTCAAGTACTTTGCCCATTTTTGAATTGGATTGTTTGGGTTTTGTTTTTTTTTTTTTTTTTTTTTGAGACAGAGTCTCGCTCTGTCACCAGGCTGGAGTGCAGTTGTGCAATCTTGGCTCACTGCAACCTCTGCCTCCTGGGTTCAAGCAGTTCTTCTGCCTCAGCCTCCCCAGTAGCTGAGACTACAGGTGCGCACCACCACACCCAGCTAATTTTTGTATTTTTAGTAGAGATGGGGTTTCACCATGTTTCATGGCCACAATGGTCTCTATCTCTTGACCTTATGATCTGCCTGCCTTGGCCTCCCAAAGTGCTGGGATTACAGATGTGAGCTACCACACCTGGCCTTATTTGCTTTTGTTGTTGTTGTTGTTGGGTATTATAAGTTCTAAGTTTACATATTCTGGGTATTAATCCCTTATCAGATGTGATTTGCAAACCTCATTCCCTTTTTTTTCTTTTTTTGGGGCAGAGTCTTGTTCTGTTGCCCAGGCTGGAGTGCACAGTTTTATAATTCCACCAGCAATGCAAAAACGTTCCAGTTTCTCCTTACCAACACATACTGTTTTCTGTTTATATTGATAGTAGCCATCCTAAAGGTATGGTATCGTTTTAATTTGCATTTCCCTAATGATAAGTTACATGGAGCACTGCTGGAGTACAGTGGTGGGATCTTGGCTGACTGCAACCTCCGCCTCCCGGGTTCAAGCAATTCTCCCGCCTCAGCCTCCTGAGTAGCTGGGACTACAGGCACACGCCACCACACCCAGCTACTTTTTGTATTTTTAGTAGAGACAGGGTTTCACCATGTTGGCCAGGATGGTCTTGATCTCTTGACCTCGTGATCTGCCCGCCTCGGCCTCCCAAAGTGCTGAGATTACAGGCGTGAGCCACTGCGCCCGGCCAAGCATGCATTTCTCTAGGGTAGATCCTGAGAAAGTAAAATTGCTGGATTGTAGGATACAAAAATGTTAGTAGATACTGCCAAGTTGCCCATAGTATTTTAGACAAAATTGGGTTAATGGGGGCATTAAAATTTTCCTTTGGGGGTGGCCGGTGCAGGGGAGCTAACAGAATGGCTGCCCAAGGGGTGTGGGAGAAAAGTGCGATTCCTTTTCCAACCCTGCTCCCTTTGTCCTGGGAGGGAAAGGACTGGCCCAGAGTATATGCACACTGATGCAGAAGCCGAGGATTTATTATGATGATGATTTTAAAGTGAAAGCAAGTTTATTAAGAAAGTAAAGGAATAAAAGAATGGCTATTCCATAGGCAGAGCAGCCCAGAAGTCTGGGCTTTAAAGGAATCTTCCAAGTCTATTGATGGCAAATCGGAAAGGAAAAACAGGCTGGCCTACTGTATCTTGGTTGTCACTGAACTTCCAGAAACTGCACTGAGAGGCAGGCTCCTATATTTTTTTCTCTTACACTCTAGCAGTATTGGTCCAGTGTAACATGAGACAGGAAGAGGGTGGCCAAGTCAGGAGTCTGCACAGGATGGCCCATAGGCCAAATCCAGGCCACCACCTGTTTTTGTCAATAAAGTTTTATTGGAACACAGTCATGCCCATTTGTTTAGGTATTGCCTATATCAACCTAAAATAATCAAAGGGTTCGAGATCCAGCTAAAAGGGTTTATTCAAGCACAAATTGTGAAGGTAGTTGCCTGGGGACACACAAATACCAGGAAATGGTGATCAGTGCTCCCAATGTGGGGAAAAGTAGGGATCATTTATATAGACAAAAACGGAGGTGCTGAACAGAATTAGATCATTTTCCATACGGTAGCTAACATACAGATATAAGATTGGATTGGCTACTGTGGATTACACTCTTAGGGGGTTGCCCACCCTTCTGTTGTAAAGAGATAATAATCACAAGGGTCTCTATCTCCAGTGTCATTCAGCCTAGGTATGAGTGAAGAACAGGGAGTCTAGTTAATATGTAACATCTCAACACAAAGGTCAGAAAGTAGCAGCCATGTGCCGGAGATGAAAAGCGCTGTGTTACATGACTGTTTCCAGCTCTTTTCCCCTTGGCATAATACATGTAGAAGGTCCTGAAATGTTACTTTCTTTTTACATCTATAGCTGCTTTTGTGCTACAATGGCAGCGTTGAGTAGTACCAAAAATAGTGCCAATCCTTGTTCTAGAAGTAATTATAATATAAATTCATAAGCCCATCAAACTTTTTTTAGGCCTGATTCTACCTGTGATTGAAAAGTAAACCACTCAGCCAGGTAAGGTGGCTGACACCTGTAATCCAGCACTTTGGGAGGCTGAGGTGGGCAGATCATGAGGTTAGGAGTTCAAGACCAGCCTGGCCAACATGGTGAAACCCCATCACTACTAAAAATACAAAAAATTAGCCAGGCGTGGTAGCGCGTACCTGTAATCTCAGCTGCTCAGGAAGCTGAGGCAGGAAAATCACTTGAACCCAGGATGTGGAGGTTGCAGTTAGCTGATATCACGCCAATGCACTCCAGCCTAGGTGACAGAACAAGACTCTGTCTCAAAAAAAAAAAAAAAAAGAGAGAGAGAGAAAAATAAATCATGTAAAAGACCCTTTCAGGCTGCTGTATATAGCTTGATACCTTGCCTTGAAAATCAGAAACGCAAATGTAAACAAATAGAAGCAAAGGCCTTACAGTGATGGGAAACAGCCCTGTGGAGAGGAGTGTAGCACTGAATATGGGGTTGGACTAGATGAAAGATTAAGGGCTCTCCAAACCTGAGAGTTGTGAATTAAAATCATTTTACTCAATAAGAACCTTGCAACAAATTTATATTGATGATGATAGTGTGAAGATCCAGGAATCAGTTACTTCATTTAAATGCTGCAGCCTTATTAAAAATTACATTCATTCAATAAACATAAAGTGCCTAATAGAGTACTAAGCATTAGGTAAAGCTACAAAGAATGATGAAAAATATTTAATTCTAGGGTAAATCCTTCAGTCCCTAAATTTTTAATTAACTTTGATTGATATGTTATACTGTGCAGGTTTTCTGGTTAGTTATGCTGGTGAATTTAATAATTGTCTTACCTTTTTTGTTTCCAGCCTTATCCTGCCAAGAAGTTACTGATGATGAGGTCTTGGATGCAAGCTGCTTGTTGGATGTCTTAAGAATGTACAGATGGCAGATCTCATCATTTGAAGAACAGGTGAGTAAAACATTCAAACAGGTTTAGCTTGGAGAATGCTTTCCCCTAGTGACTTCTTGGGGCCTGACCTTGCAGTTGCCTGGCCTCAGTGTACATTTCTGTGACATTTTAGACAACTTTAGTGTTTTGGAACCAGAGTACCAACTTTGTTCCTGTTCTCATGACCAGAGGGGAGATATAGCTGGTTTTCACCCAGTGGGTAGAAAGTTAGTGGGATGGGACAGAAACACACAGTTGCCAAAGAGCAAAGCTCTTTTTAGTTCTTGAGTGACTTGGCACTCCGGTAAGTGATAGGGACACCTGGGTTCTTTAGAAAGAGGCAGGTGACTTTACCTTGGAGGCTCAGAGGTTCAGGTAAGACTCTTTTCTGGACCTCACCCTCATTTTTTAAAAAATCTATTTTCAGAGCTTAGCTTAAAGTGGCCCCAAACCTGAAGCAGATGTCATATGCAATTCCAAGGCTGTATTGAGTCACTCCCACCTCCCTTTTCCACAACTGCAGCTTCGCTACCTTCTTTGGAACTTGACCACCCTCCTCCCTGCCAGACCACTAGCAACAACAAGTCTGAAACAGAGGCCAAGAGAGTGAAGCTCTAGGGATGAAAAAATCTAGCCTGCAGTGGCATACAGGTGCATCCTCCGCAGCCACACTTCCAGCGTGGCCTTGTCCAGCTTTGTGTAGGCGTCTTCTGCCACTACTGTCCAGAGAAATGGGAGGTGGCATCTTGGACCTCACAAAACTGTGGGGTTGATGTGAGGGACATTGAGAAACTTTTGCAAAGGGAGGTGAGGAGGCTTTCTAGCTCCCCTTATTTTTAAAGATGTTCTCTTGTTTTTCCTTTATTCTGAAGCCACTGGTCACTTTTTAGACATGGTTGTGGTGATATCTATACTTTCTTAAAATGTATCTCAATTAATCCAATTGTATGTTGCAATGTTTTTCTACTTAGAAAATACTTTTAAAATCCTCCTCTGGTAAGTGGAATTATTTAATTTACATTTCCCTAAACTGAGAAGATAACTTTGAGATTCAGTTGCCAAGGCCATCAGATCACTTTTTTTAAGTCCGACTTCTTCATCAAGGACTCATTTAAGTCGCAGTCACTCCTTGGAAGTATTTCTGACATCTTTGTCCCACAGCAGTCACTGAGCCCACGTGATGCTATAGTCTGCGCGAAAAAGAGATGAACATGTCTGTCCAGCGGCCTTTTTCTCTTCGAAGGTACCCAGAGCATCTAGCATGGGCCTTGCCCACATCTCTATTATCAGCGATCTGGTCAATCAGAATCAGACTTTCCCATTTTCTTTGCCTAAAGCTAGAGCTTCAGAGGATGCATTGGGCTCAGTGCTTGCTTTATGCAAATTACCTGATTTTATTATCAAAATAACCCTGTAAGGAGTTACTGTTATCCCCATTTTACAGATAGAAACACTGAGGCTCAGAGAAGTGGAATGATTTGCCCAGAGTCACACAGCTATTTAAGAGGCAGAGCCAGGATTTAAGTCAGTCTGATGCTACAGTGCACATTCAAGCTCTGCTCCTCTGCAATGCTGTCCCTTTCCTCAAGGCCTAGTCGTTATATGGCTGACCCCCAGGTTAGGTTATAGATCCACCTCCATCCTGTCTTGGGATCTGCTTCAAGGCTGGGCCCAGATACCTGGTGTTTTAGGGCTCCTTGAGCCCCCGAGGAAGTGCTGGTTCTCCTCTGGCCCTCCTGCTTCCTGCTTGTCACAGGGTTGCAGCCCTGATGTGCTGTTGGCTAATGGCTGGGCTGACATACCTCCCCTGGATTGTGAGTCCCTCAGGGGCCAGAGCCTTGCCTTATTTACCTTTGGATTTTTACTTGCACTTTATACTGCAGTTTATAGCCCAGAAGGGAATTCATTTATATAGGCAATGAGTATTGACTGAATGCCTGCCTGGGGTGGGGCCTGTGGAGGGCAATGGGGTTGTAGCAGCAGACATGACCTACAGGTGTTTCCTGCTCTCTCGGAGCTGGGATTCAAGTTGGGGATAAGGATAATGGGCTGGGGTAGGTGCAGACAACAAGCAGGGAATTTCAGGATATGCCAACAAGAAACTGTCTGGTAATGACATGGCATGGGTGGGGAGGGCAGGGGAGGAGGAACCACGCCGCAGGAGGAGACTGCTCCAGGTAGGGAGGCTCCTCTCGGGAGGTGAGGTTTCAGCGGAGACCTGAAGTATAAAAGAGAGTGAAGCGTGTGGAGACCTGGGTACACAGCATTCCAGACAGAGGAAGAAGCTAGGGTGGAAGTCCGGAGATGGTTATAAAGCTGCCACCTGTGGAGAATGGCAGGGAGGCCAGGGTGGGGGCGGGCGGCGGAGGAGAGGAACTGACGAAAGTTGGCAGGGAGCAGATTGTGCAGGGACTGGGAGGCCATGAGCGGCTTCAGATTCTATTGTGTGTGCAGCAGGGAATCACTAGAGGGCTTTGAACTGGGGACTAGTTTGATCTGACTTGTTAGAAAAGGAAGGCTGGCGGGGTAAGAATGCAAGCTGCGAAGAGAGGTGGGAGGCTGCTGCGGGGGATCTGGCTGAGATGGCTCGGCTCTGACTGGGGTTGAGGCAGGGGAGCTGAGAGGCCTCAGGAATTTAGGGCATATTTTGGAAGAGGGGCCTTTGCTCAATTGGCTGGGGGTGGGCTGGGTTCAGAGGAGTGGAGGCAGCTTTGGATAGTTGGTTGGGGAGTATGCCCTGACTAGGAGCTCTTTGTCAGAGACGTGAAGGACAGGAGGTAGCTGTGTGAAGGTCTGAGCACAGCCCAAAATGGGAATAAGCTGAATGTGTCCAAGGAACACAAAAGAGGCCAGGGGTGGGGGCATTGTGAATGTTGGGGGCTTTGTAGGCCAGATAAGAGTGGTAGGTTTTACTCTAAGTAGAAGCCATTGGAAAGTGAAAAGCAGAAGAGTAAAGCTATCTGCCTTTTAAAGCACTGCTCTGGTGGCAGTGTGGGGAGTGCCAAGAGGAGAAGCAGAGGGCTTGTGTTGTGATCCTGTTACTCTCGGAAGAGTGAGGGGTGGCTTGGGTTTTTGGGGACAGGGCTATTTGAGTTGATCCTTCAAGAGTAGTTCCATGCCATTGGATCCAGCAATTCCACTGCTGGGTACAACTGGAAATACTTAAAAGCAGGGACTCAAGAAGGTATTTATATACTCAGGTTCATAGCAGCATATTCGCAATAGCCAAGAGGTAGAAGCAGCCCAAGTGTTCATCAGCGGATAAACAGGTCAACAAAATTCTCATGCAATGAATTATTATTCAGCCTTAGAAAGGAAGGAAATTCTGCCCTATGCTGCAGCATGGGTGCACCTTGAAGGCATTGTGCTAAGGAACATAAGCCAGTTACAAAGACAAACCTTGTATGATTCCACTTCTATGAGGTTCCTACATTAGGCAGATTCCTAGAGACAGAAAGAATGGTAGGTGCCGAGGCAGGGGAAGGGGAAATGGAGAGTTAGTGTTTAACAGGTATGGCATTTCAGCTGAGGAAGATGGATGGCAGTGGGGATTGCATAACATGAATGTATGTAATGCCACAGAATCATTCATGTAAAAATGGTTAAGATGATAGATTTTATAGATATGCGTATTTTACCACAATTAACAAAAAGCATAATCTTTTGAAGTCAAGTGGAGCAGGGGTCAGGACTGTCTCAGTGAAACAGGATGGTCTCGGAGATTGCTGGTGTGAAGGCAGCCACCTGGCTTTCTCTCCTCTCTCTGCTCCTGGACCTCTTGGTTGAGGGTCTTTACTTGTGACAGTGTCTAGGACATAACTGTTTTCCTTTAGTGAGCTGAGCCTTGAGAAGGTAGAAAGCAAATTCTACCCACATTCACTATAGAGTATCTGCTGACAGGAGTGGTTCTGATCTTGCTCTTGCCTCACCTGGCCTCTCTAAAGAATGCTTTGCCCTTTGACAGGATGCTCACGAATTATTCCATGTCATTACCTCATCATTGGAAGATGAGCGAGACCGCCAGCCTCGGGTCACGCATTTGTTTGATGTGCATTCCCTGGAGGTAAACCATTAACATTTCCAACATGTTCTGTGCAGATTGTACATATTTAATAAGTATAGGAGAGGCAAGTGTAATCTTTGTACAACTTTAAACTCAAAAGTAAGATTCAGTAAAAATCAGTGGTGGGAGTAAGGCCAGGGGAGGGTCTTAAACTACATGCTTTACAGTTGGTGACTCTGATTTGGGGTGTCAAGACTCTTTTAAATGATTCATTGCTGCAATTTGTGTTGGCTTTGAGAAGAAAAAATGTAATTTTTTTTACTATTTAATACAGGGGAACAAGGGCCATAGGAATGCTAAATGAGCCTCATTTCCCTGTAACAGTAAATATTGGGAGAGTTCATAAAAGTTAACCAGTAAAGATGAAAATATTCTGGAGAGAGGAAATATGTTTCTGTCGCATTTGATGAAGGAATATGCATAGTATCCAGCCAGATAGGCTAATTGAGGCTACCTTTAGAAACCTGAGCTTTGTTAAAAGTTGATTTTTAGTGGTATAATCAACACAGAAACTTGTAAGATGTAGGGGTGGGGTGAGGGTGATGAAAGGGATTATAGGATTTTCAGTCTGTTTTTTTTTTTTCCCTACAGCAGCAGTCAGAAATAACTCCCACACAAATTACCTGCCGCACAAGAGGTAGCCGTTTTCCATTGAAATATAATACATAAGACGTGTACTTTTAAGATATGATAATAATTTGCTTGTTTTAAAAATATTTTTTTTCTGGTGACATACAGGCCAGCTTGAAATGTGATGTGCTTGCAAAGGAACTTGTATTTTGGAAACAGCTTTACATGATTCTCTTGGTGTCCCCTTGTACCCCAGCCCAGCTTACTTTTGTCAAACTGGCTTATTTGTACTTCACACAAAGGCTTACTTTTTACCTTTTCAAAGTGACCCTGGGAAGAACATAATAAGCTGATGAATCTGTCATGTCCTCAGCGTTTCCAGTGTTGCCAAATTTTGCTGCATATTACCACAGTCATTCTTAGAAGGAAATTGTTTTCTTAAGACTTAAACGATACAATTATCAATTCCTCTGTGTAGTAATAGGAATAAATATTTTCTGAGCCCATGCTGTTTAGCTTCGTTAAGCAGCTCTACAAAGCTGATGATACTGGAGATCATGGGATAATAACTATCCCAATTTTCTGCAAACTGAGGCTTGCAGAGATTAAAGGCATTCCCAGGTCAGGTAGCAAATAAGAAGCAGAGGCAAAGCTGATCCCTGGACTGCCTGACTCCAGAGCCCGGGTTTTTCACTGTGTTCTTTCCACTAACTCCCATTTTAGCCAAAGAAAGACTCACTTATTCAGAACTTGCTTATTCCGATTATTTCAGAAGATTTTATCTCACTTTATGGAATGTTCACTGGTGGTTTCCTTCTTTTGACATCTCAAACATTTTAAGAATATGTTTGTAAAAAGACATTATTAAACATAAATTCCTTTTTTACATGTGGCTCTACCTGTTATACAGAAACCACATGTAAAGATAGATCTGTGTAAATTCTCCTACGAAGGAATGGGATGTCTTTTGGATGAAAGTCAATGAGGAAAGCTATTTCAATGTACTTTTCAAGAACTTTTTTCTCCAGAGGGGGTTTCTACCACATACTAGAAAGGAAGTTGAATGTTGAGCATGGTGCCAAAGAGCTAAAAGTGACATATCAAAAGACTTTTTGCATTCCAGGGTCACCTCACCCCACATCCAATCATTGGAAGTCTCAACATCCTTTTCATGGAAGACTCACTAGTAATATGGTCTGCAAACACTGTGAACACCAGGTAAATACAATACTAACACTTGATATTTCTGGGCAAGGTTTTCCAAAAGTTAGGATTCTTTTTTTTTTTTTTTAATTGCATTTTAGGTTTGGGGGTACATGTGAAGAACATGCAAGATTGTTGCATAGGTACACACATGGCAGTGTGATTTGCTGCCTTCCTTCCCCTCACTTATATCTGTCATTTCTCCCCATGCTATCTCTCCCCACCCCCCCGTCCCTCTCCCATTTCCCCCCAACAGACCCCAGTGTGTGATGCTCCCCTCCCCGTGTCCATGTGTTCTCATTGTTCAACACCCGCCTATGAGTGAGAACATGCAGTGTTTGATTTTCTGCTCTTGTGTCAGTTTGCTGAGAATGATGGTTTCCAGGTTCATCCATGTCCCTACAAAGGACACGAACTCATCGTTTTTGATGGCTGCGTAATATTCCATGGTGTATATGTACCACATTTTCCCTGTCCAGTCTATCATCGATGGACATTTGGGTTGGTTCCAGGTCTTTGCTATTGTAAACAGTGCTGCAATGAACATTCGTGTGCATGTGTCCTTATAGTAGAATGATTTATAATCCTTTGGATATATACCCAGTAATGGGATTGCTGGGTCAAATGGGATTTCTCTTTTTAGGTCATTGAGGAATCACCACACTGTCTTCCACAATGGTTGAACTAATTTATACTCCCGCCAACAGTGTAAAAAAGTTAGGATTCTTGAAAGGACCTAGAGAGTGAGCTGACATTGGTCACTGGTGTTGGTGACTACCTGGCCTCTGCACACTGGTGGGTGGACTGACTGCCCCACTTTGGTCGGTGTCGACATGGCATTTGATCATCAGATGGCATCTTCTGCATCAAGAACAGCAGACCCACTGCGGATTGGCAGGGTCTCAAAGTCTTGTGGTTGAGTCTGTGCTCATGATTGGACACAGTAGATTCTAGGGCTGGTTTTTTCCCCCTTTGCTTTTGAGGTTTTAAAATAACTTTTTATTTTATGTTCTGTACAGCTTGAGCATATTTGTTGAAAATTTCCAACATCATTCAAAAATAGAGAATTGTACAACTGTCACCCCAATTCATTTTATTTTATCTTTTTCACAGCCATTACTGACTCTGGGATCAGTCAACTTTATAACATTTTTATTGCCCCCTAAAAAAAACTCCATACTTATTAGCAGTCTCTCCCCATTCTTTCCATCCCCCTGTTCCTTGTCAACCATGAATCTACCACTGTCTCTATGGATTTACATATTCAGGATACTTCATATGCATGGAATCATGTAATGCGTGGCCTTTTGTGTCTTGCTTCTTTCAGTTATCATAGTATTTTCAAGGTTATTTCATATTGTGGTATGAATTAGTACTTTGTTCCTTTTATTCCCAAATAATATTGTATTACATGGATCTACAGCTTTTTTTTTTTTTTTTTTTTTTTTTTTTATCTACAGCATTCTTATCCATTCATCAGATGATAGGCATTTGGATTGTGTTTTGTTTTTTTTTTTTTTGAGACGGAGTTTCCCTCTTGTTACCCAGGCTGGAGTGCAATGGCACAATCTCAGCTCACTGCAACCTCCATCTCCTGGGTTCAAGCAATTCTCTGGCCTCAGCCTCCCAAGCTGGGACTACAGGTGTGTGCTACCATGCCCAGCTAATTTTTGTATTTTTAGCAGAGAAGGGGTTTCACCATGTTGACCAGGATGGTCTCGATCGCTTGACCTTGTGATCCACCCGCCTCGGCCTCCCAAAGTGCTGGGATTACAGGCGTGAGCCACCGTACCTGGCCCAGGCATTTGGATTGTTAACACTTTTTGGCTATTAGGAATAATGTTGCTGTGAACATTTACATACAAGTTTTTGTGTGGACATGTATGTTCATTTCAATTGGGTATATACCTCAGAGTAGAATTGCTAGCTTTTATGGTAACTCTGTTTAACCTTTTGAGGAACTGCCAGACTATTTTCCAAAGCGGCTATGGCATTTTACATTCCCACCTGCAGCGTATGAAAGGTTTCAGTTTCTCCACAGCCTCACCCACACTTGTACTGTCTGACACTTTGGTTCCAGCCTTCTGACTGTGTGCAAAGTAGTATCTCGTTGTGGCTTTTCCTCCAGCTTTATTGAGCTCTAATCAACAATAAAAATTGTAGATATTTAGGGTGTACAAAGTGATGATTTGATATATGTATGCATTGTGAAATGATGACTACAGTCAATCTAAAGCTAATTAACATACCCATCACCTCATACGTATGTGATTGTGTGTGCACATGCGTCTATGCTCGTGTGTGGTGAGAACACTCAAGATCTACTCTCTTAGCATATTTCAAGAATTTGTACAGTATTATTAACTGTAGTCACTGTGCTGTACGTTAACAGCCCAGAACTTACTCATCTTATAACTGAAGGTTTGCATCTTTGAGCAACATCTCCCACCTCCCCAGCCCCTGGCAGCTACCATCTGCTCTGCTTCTGTGAGTTTGACTTTTCTAGATTTCATATATGAGATCAGGCAGTGTTTCTCTTTCTATGTGTGGCTTATTTCACACAGTAGATGTCCTCCACGTTCATTCATGTTGTCAGAGTTGGTGGGACTTCCCTTTTTGATGGCTGAATAATATTCCATTATTCATGTTTACCACATTTTCTCATTCATCTGTCTGTGGACATTCCGTATCTTGGCTACAGTGAATAATGCTGCAGTGAACATTGTTTTGCAGGTTTATCTTTGAGATCCTGATTTCATTTCCTTTGGATATATACCTAGGAGTGGTATTGCTAGTTCATGTTGTAATTCTATGCTTAACTTTTTGAGGAACCTCCATACTTTTTTCCACTTATGTTCCCACCAAAAGTTGCCTTCTCTCCACACCCTTGCCAACACTTGTTACATGCTGGGGTTTTTTGGTTTTGTTTTTGTTTTTGAGACGGAGTCTCACTCTGTGGCACCCAGGCTGGAGTGCAGTAGTGCCATCTTGGCTCACTGCAACCTCTGCCTCCTGGGTTCAAGGTTCAAGTGATTCTCCCACGTCAGTCTCCCAGTAGCTGGGATTACAGGTCCCTGCCAACACGCCCAGCTAATCTTTTGTGTTTTTAGTAGAGACAGGGTTTCACCGTGTTGACCGGGCTAATCTTGAACTCCTGACCTCAGGTGATCTACCTGTCTTGGCATCTCAAAGTGCTAGGATTATAGGCATGAGCCATCGTGCCTGGCACATGCTGTCTTTTTGGTAATAGCCATCCTAACAGGTCTGAGGTGATAGCTCTTTGTGGTTTTATTTGCATTTCCTTGATGATTAGTGGTATTGAGTGCCTTTTCATATACCTGCTGGCCATTCGTATGTCTTTTTTTGGAAAGTGTCTATTCAGGTCCTTTGCCCATTTTTTAATCATGTTTCTTTGTTTTGTTTTGTTTTTTGTTTTTTGTTTTTGCTGTTGGCCCATATGAATTCCTTATATATTTTGGATATTAATACCTTATCAGATATATGGTTTGTTAATATTTTCTCCCATTCCATATGTTGCTTTTTCATTTTGCTTACTGTTTCCTTTGCTGTGTCATTGTAGTTCTGAGTGGCATTACCCGGAAGACTAATATGTTGAATGGTTTTTTTAAAAATAAGCTTCATATATTAAAAGATATGTAAGATATGTTAAGGAACTGTAATCTGTAAGTTGACTATTCATCTTCTTTCTCGCATTTTATTTGTTTTGATATTATTGTAAGTGGAATTAACATTTTTTAATTTTCAAATTGTTTGCCACTAGTATGTAGACATACAGTTGTTTATGTATTGACCTTGTATCTTGAGATATTGTAAACATTAGTTACTTCTAGAAGCTGTAGAAGTTTTATTATGTATTCTTAGCATTCTCTGTGTATGTAAACAGTCATGTTCCTTATGAATGGAAATAGTTGTAGTTCTCCCTTTCCAGTCCAGTCTTTATTCCTTTTTTTTTTCTTTGCCTTATTTTCCTGGCTGAGACTTCTGGTACAGAGTTAAATAAGAGTGATGATAGCAGACATCTTTGCTTTGTTTCGAATCTCCTGAAGCAAGTATTTGGTGTTTCATAATTAAGTATGATATTAGCTTTAGGTTTTAGTACACCCCTTTGTCATACTGAGAAAGTTCCCTCTGTTCCTAGTTTGCTAATAATTTTTGTAATAGTGATTGAATTTTGTCATGCTTTTTCTGCATCTATTGAGATAATCATATTTGATTCTCTTCTTCTGTTAACATGGTGAATTACGGTGATTGATTTTTTCTCATGTTAAACCAGCCTTTTATTTCTAGGATAAACCCCACTTGATCGTGATGCTTTTTTCTTTTTATATATTATTGAATTTGATTTGCTAATATTTCCTAAAGGATATCAGTATCTATGTTTATGAGGAACATTGTTCTTACACCTTCTTCTCTTGTGATGTCTTTGTCAGGCTTTGCTATAAGGATTATACTAGCCTCATAAAATAGGCTGGAAAATGTTCCCTCCTCTGTTTACTGAAAGATTTTGTTTAATATTGGTATTATTTCTTCCTTAAGTGTTTGCTAAAATATGTTTTTCTTTAGCTATATTTCTGCTACTTTTTAAAACTTTGTTATTGAATACAAGCATACGTATTATGATGAGTTGACTCATCTTGTCATGATAAATCGTCCCTTTTCATCTCTGCTAAGACTCCTTTACTTGAAATCTATTTAAATGATTCATTTTTAATCTAGCTAATGTTTATTTGGTAATTTCTTTCTGTTATTTTCTGCCTTTATATTTAAAGTGTGGCTTTGTAGACAGCCTATAATGGGTCTTGCTTTTTTTTTTTTTTTTTTTTGAGACTGAGTTTCGCCCTTGTTACCCAGGCTGGAGTGCAATGGCGCGATCTCGGCTCACCGCAACCTCCGCCTCCTGGGTTCAGGCAATTCTCCTGCCTCAGCCTCCTGAGTAGCTGGGATTACAGGCACGTGCCACCATGCCCAGCTAATTTTTTGCACTTTTAGTAGAGACGGGGTTTCACCATGTTGACCAGGATGGTCTCGATCTCTCGACCTCGTGATCCACCCGCCTCGGCCTCCCAAAGTGCTGGGATTACAGGCTTGAGCCACCGCGCCCGGCCATGGGTCTTGCTTTTTATCCAGCTTGACAATCTTTCAGTTGGAATGGTTAGTCCATTTACATTTAATGTAAGTATTGATATGGTTAGATTTAGGTCTGCCATTTTACCATTTGTTTTCTGTTTGTCTTACATATTTTCTTGTTCCTGGGTTCCTCCTTCACTGGCTTCTTTCAGGTTGATGAAATGCTTTTTAGTATTCTGTTTTAATACCTTTGTTGGCCTTTTAGCTTTACTCTTATGTGTTTGTGTGTGGTGTGTGTGTTTGTGATTACCTTATGCAGTTTTACCTTATCACATTCTATTTAGAGTTAATATTATACTTCTTCATGTAAAATATTAGAATATTACAAAAGTATAGTTCTGTTACCCTAGCCTTTGTGCTATTGTATGTATATTATAAACCCCACAATACTGTGTCATAGTTTTTGCTTTAAACAGTTACGTGTGTTTTATTTCATTTTCTTTGGATATATACTCGGAAGTGGTATTGCTAGTTCATATAGTTCTGTTCTTAACTTTTTGAAGGACCTCCTTACCATTTCCCATAATAGTTGCACCAGCCGTGTGTGGTGGCTCACGTGTGTAATCCCAGCACTTTGGGAGGCCAAGGTGGGTGAATCATAAGGTCAGGAGTTCAAGACCAGCCTGGCCAACATGGTGAAACCCCATCTCTCCTCAAAATACAAAAAATGAGCCAGTCATGGTGGCACACACCTGTAATCCCAGCTACTCGGGAGGCTGAGGCAGGAGAATGGCTTGAAACTGGGAGGCGGAGGTTGTGGTGAGCTGAGATCGAGCCACTGTACTCCAGCCTGGGCAACAGAGCAAGACGCTGTCTCAAAAAAAAAAAAAAAAAAAAAAAAAAAAAAAAGATGTACCAATTTACATTCCCAACAATAGTGTGCAAGAGTTACCTTCTATTAAAGAAATTAATAGAAAAAACTATATTTATCACTTTTGTTGTTCTCAGTCTTTCTTGTAGATCAAAATTCATTTGATGTTTTTTTCCTTTTCAGCCTAAAAACATTATTTTAAAACATTTCCTATAGGTGGACTGGTTACAGATACACTTAGATTTCATTTACATGAAAATTTTTGTTCTGCCTTCATTTTTGAAGGATAGTACTGCTGAATATAGAACTTTGAGTTGACAGTGGTGCTGTTGATTTTGTTTGGTTTATTTTAAATTCATCACTTTAAGGACATTGTTCTGGCCTTCATTTTTTCAATGTTATTTATATCATTCTTTTTTATGTCTCATTTCGTTTTCTTCTGCTTACACTGTTTACAAGATTTTCTCTTTATTCATGCTGTGCATAGATGTGGTTTTCTTTGTATTTATCTTGTTTGGGATTTGCTGAGTTTCTTAAATCTGTACTTTTTTTTAAACCAAATTTGAAAATTCTTGGCCATTATTTTTTCAACAAAGATTTTATGCCCATTTTTCACTTGCTAGTTTACTTAATGTGGCTCCATGGGTCACTGAGGTCTTGTTCAATTTTCTTCAGTCTTTTTCTGTGTGTTCTTTAGATCATTTCTATTGACTTATTTTCATGTTCACTGTTCACTGATACTGATTTTTTCCTTTTCTTTCTTTCTTTTTTTTTTTGAGATAGGGTCTTAGCTCTGTCATTCAGTCTGGAGTGCAATAACGTGATCGTAGCTCACTGCAGCCTCAACCTCCCAAGCTCAAGTCATCCTCCCACCTTAGCCCCCTGAGCAGCTGGGACTACCAGAGAGTGCCACCACACCCAGCTGATTTATTTTTTTAATTTTTGTGGAGACGGTGTCTCACTGTGTTGTTCAGGTTGGTCCTGAACTCCTGGGCTCAAGCAATCCTCCCACTTCAACCTTCCAAAGTGTTGGGATTATAAGTGTGTGAGCCACCATGCCTGGCCTGATTCTTTTTTCATCTCCAATCTCTGCCTATGCAAATTTTACATTGTAGTCATTGTTGTTTTTAGTTATAGGATTTCCATTTCCTTCTTTTTAATCGTTTCCATTGTTGTTCTGAGATTGTCAATTTGTTCACTCATTGTCACTGTGTATTTTTCTTTACATCTTTGAGCATATTTATGATACATCTGTGAGGTCCTTGTGTGCTGACTTCTTTGTATTTTATGTTTAGTAATTTTTTATTGTGTTCTTAACATTATAGTAGAGACAGAGAGAGTAGGGATTCTGTTCATTTCTCTGAAGAAAAATTAATTTTCTTCTGGCCTGCAGTTAACCCAGCTGGGCTCAAACTCAACTCTGCCTCCCTACATTGGGCAGCAAAACCTCTGCTCAGTTTTTTTAGCTTCCAGCTGCTACTTTTTGCCAGGCTCCCTGGAGTTTCCACCTATGCATGTGTGGTTCAGGGATCAGCCCTGGAACTGAATAGAGTTTAGGTATAAACTGTGGGGTTCATCCCCTCTATGTCTCCTTTCTTCCTGGGATTTCCCTCGGTCTCTGCATCAGCCCTGATTCTTGAACTCTTAGTCTTCTGACCAGTCAATCCTGTAGGATGCTGCTTTTTTGCCACCCAGCACTACATCCACTGGGAAAAAAAGCCACAAACACACATATCTCATCCATGGAGTTCCGTTTTTCCAAGAGTTGACTTCTTTTCCATTTCTGCCTGCTTTTGGTAGCTCTCCGTTCATTCAGATAGTCTTGGTCCAGACTTTACGGTTGTTATCTCAAGGAAGGTTAATCTACCCAAGCACCTCTGCCATCAGCACCTCTGCCATCATCACCTCTGCCATCACCAAAAGCAGGAACTCTCTTCCCCTACTCCATTGTCTGCTTTTTTGCAATGAATAATATGAACATCTTTCCACATGATCATACGTTCTGTATTTTGTTTAACATAGTGTTTCATTCTATGGACATGCTCTAATTTATTAAATCATTCACTAGACGTTTCACCTACAGTCACGTGCTGCATAGTGATGTTTTGGTCAATGACAAACCACATATATGATGGTGGTCTCGTAAAATTATAATACTTTATTTTTACGGTACCTTTTCTACATTTTGATACACAAATACTGCCCATTGTCTTACAGTTGCTTACAGCATTCAGTACGGTAACATGTTGTAAGGTTTGTAGCCTAGGAGCAGTAGCTATACCATAGTCTAGGTGTGTAGTAGGATGCACCATCTAGGTGTTCGTAAATGCGTTCTGTGATGGCAAAATGATGAATGACAGTTGACGAAATGTGTCACTAACAAAATGACGAAATTGTCTAAGGATGCATTTCTCAGAATGTATCCCCATTGTTAAGTGATGCTGACTGTATTCAAATTTTTGCTATTATAAATAATGTTGATGAATATCCTTGTAGTTATGCCCAGGGTTACTTCCTTAAAATAAAATCCCAAAATTATTACTGGGTCAGGTATTTAATCTTTCAGTTGTTCCAAGCAATTCTTTAGTATTATTGTACCTCTTATGTTTACGAGGTTGTTTTTAATAGAGTTTGATTCTAATATAATAGGATTCCATTTTACTATGTTAATGTTGACCATCTCAATATTAAACTGTTTCATAGTCATATCTTCCATCTTTAAAACTTTGAATCAAACCTAAATCTTTTATGGATTTTCTGCAATATTTGTTTCAGAGTCCTGTTCGATTTGATACCTTCGATAGCCTTTCACTAAGTATTCCAGCTGCCACATGGGTATGTACTGATTTATGGTCTATTTGGAGTCTGTTTCAAAGACATTTCAATTTGAAAGGGCTTCGAGGCATTTTCTGTGGCTCAGGCACTATGTGTTATTCAGATACATGGTTGGTTGAACCCCATCTTAACTTTAATATGTGGCATGATTATGGGGGAGAGGAAGAGGAATGGTTTTTCTTTTGCTCCAGAAATTTTGGCTTTTTTAATACACACATACACACTAACCTCAAATTCAGAGATGCCTAAAACAGCATGGAAGTCCACAAGTTTGTCCAGTTACATCCTCATGCTCTAGAATCTGTTAGTAGTAGCAGTCTAGGATGCTTTGAGCCTCACATTTGTCCAGGAAACATCCAGTTGTGACTATAAAACTTCACTGCCTGCATACATCAAAATAAAGCTCTGGTCTTCTCACTGCCATCTATTAATAGTTTCAGTATAGCTGTCCTTTGAATTGTAGTAATTTTCTTCTTCTCATGCTGTAGGGTCACCCATTAACCCTGGACCACTGCCTTCACCACTTCATCTCATCAGAATCAGTGCGGGATGTTGTGTGTGACAACTGTACAAAGGTATGCATTTAACCCCAAATGTCATCTCCCAGCTGGCCTGTGTCTGCTGATGTAGCGCTCTCACACCAGTGACGCTGAGCTCTCACACCAGTGACCCTGAGCTCTCACACCAGTGACGCTGAGCTCTCACACCAGTGACGCTGAGGTCTCACACTAGTGACCCTGAGCTCTTCTGACTGTACCCAGTGGGTCTTTTCAGCCACTTCTATTTCTCCCTAACCTGGTTTGGACATTGGTAGCCCATGGACCAAATCTCTTTCCCAGATGAGTTTTGTTTCATGCACACTGTTTAAAGAATAAACTTTAGCTAGGTGTGGTGGCATGCACCTGTAATCCCTGCTACTCGGGAGGCTGAGGCAGAAGACTCGTTTGAACCCGGGAGTTGGAGGCTGCAGTGAGTCAGGATCATGCCTTTGCACTCCAACCTGGGCAACAGAGTGAGACTGCATTTCAAAAAAAAAAAATAAACTTAACTGTCACCCTGCGATGAGACATGCCTTCTCCAATTTGCTGCAGCTGCCTCCAATCCCATTTGTTTTACACCTTCATTTTCCCCTGTGCTACCTGCCTGACTCCCCTCAGTAGCTATTTCCCCTCTGACTCAAGAGGAACTGTATGGAACAGAATTTCTGAAAACAGAGACCAGAATAGATGACATGCTAGTGTCAGGGCGTCAGTGTTCACTCTTCATGTTCTCTTCCCTCCGATGTTTCTGTTATTTAATGACCCTAATCACCGGGCAGCCTGAGTTTATTTCAGCAGGTAGCAGTCAAGTGCCCATTATGTGCCACTATAACACCACCATGGTCTGCAGCTCTCCATAACTGTGCTATTTTAGGCATTTCTGCAAAGAAATGTTTCTTTTATTTCAGATTGAAGCCAAGGGAACATTGAACGGGGAAAAGGTGGAACACCAGAGGACCACTTTTGTTAAACAGTTAAAACTAGGGAAGGTGAGCCCACACCACACACCCTGTTGACTTTGTTTTGAGGACTCCCAGTGTCTTGCCCTGAAATAACTCAGTTCTCCCGGTTTCTCTTCCACCCGCAGCTCCCTCAGTGTCTGTGCATCCACCTACAGCGGCTGAGCTGGTCCAGCCACGGCACGCCTCTGAAGCGGCATGAGCATGTGCAGTTCAATGAGTTCCTGATGATGGATATTTACAAGTACCACCTCCTTGGACATAAACCCAGTCAACACAACCCTAAACTAAACAAGAACCCAGGGCCCACCCCGGAACCCAGTCAATACAACCCTAAACTGACCAAGAACCCAGGGCCTACGCTGGAGCTGCAGGATGGGCCGGCAGCACCCACACCAGGTGTGTGCATGAGCAGCTGATGCAGCAGGAATTTTCAGCACAGAGAAAAGCAGTTTGGCATCACCACCTTCTGGGTCCCTTATGTCACAAGCACAAGGCTTGTACAATGGTTGTTTAAATTCTTGAGAACAGCAGGATTGGGGGTGGAAGAAGGAAGGTTTCTTAGAAGAGGTTAAAATTATGTAGTAGTGAGATGTATCATTTTTGAAACCATATTCCAGATGAAAAAGTACAGAGAGAAACGCTTAAAATTGCAGCCTTGCCTTCTGATCTTTCCACTAAATGATATAATCATTGGCTCACGTCATTCCAGTGAATCTTTTTCTTTTTCCTTTTGCAGTCATGTCATTTCCTGTCAGTACAGGAAATGTAGGGAGGACAGGTTCTGGCTAAAGATCACTGAGCCTCTTCTGTGGGTTGAAATGGCTACTTTACTGAATTCTGTATCTGATTCCGTGACTGCCCTCAGCTGGGGTCTCAGTTAAGCCAGGTAGCTCTTATCACCCAACGGTCTTACTGGCAAGAATGTGGAGGCTCCACAGGTTTGGATGATTGGTCCAAGAGTAAACACCACGTGGGAGAACTGGCCCTAGAATGGAGTGTTGGGCCGTCTTCTAAAGGTGTCGCACGTGACTCATTGAGTTCTTTAGAGATTAGGAAAACCCACTCACTTTAAGCGCTCACAGCCTGAACTCAGCACCTGCCTAACGCCCCCAGTTGGGTCAGGATTGTCTCATACCTCGTACTTTCCTGTTTTCGGGTCCCTTACTCCTTTTGTTCTTTTTGTGCGTGGCCTGACACCTCATCATGTCAGGGAGACCGTGTTTTCCTCTTTCTCATCAAGCCACTAGATTAACATCAGAAAGAGATGAGGTAGGGAGCAGACTCAGGCTCAGTCCTTGGCCCTGGTTTTAAATCAAAGACCTCTTCACCCCAGCTTCCCCCTCTCCTGGGCTGGGGTGCAGGTTTACTAATGTTGAGAGCATGCTGGCTGTGGTTAAAGATGCCAGCAGTAGGGCCAGTCGTGGTGGCTGACATCTGTAATCCCAGCAGTTTGGGAGACTGAGGTGGGAGGATTGCTTGAACCCAGAAGTTTGAGGCTGCAGTGAGCTGTGATCATGCCACTGTGCTCCAGCCTGGGCAACAGAGCAAGATCCTGTCTCAAAAAAAAAAAAAAAAAGTCATCAGTAAACTACTTGGTACGTAAAGGCCTCCAAAAGTGACACTTGAAAGGAAAAGACGTGTAAATATGGCCTTATTTATCTATACCCATAAACATGTATTAATGCTGTTATGTGTTGGTGTTCATTAGAAGCTGACAGAATTAAGAAAATAGGATGCTTCGATCAGTGGTTCTCAACTTGGAGGGGTTTTGCCTCTCAGGGGACATTGGGCAATGTCTGGTAACATTTTTGGTGGTCACTACTGGGGGAGGGATGCTACTGGTATCTAGTGGGTAGAGGCTGGAGATGCTGTTCAACATCCTGTAACACACAGGACAGCCCCCAGAACAAAGAATGATCCAGCCAAAACCGTCATGGTGTCACTGTTGAGAAACCTTGGTTTAGGTTGAAAGCCAGTAAATTAGCTACTGATTAACTTTGATACATGCCATTAGCAAACAGGGCTAGGAAGCTCAAAGATCCCAGGCTAGCCATAAACATGGAGCTAGATACGTTTTTCCTATTTGGGATTGAGACAGATTATCCCCCTATTTGGGATTAAGGATAAAGGGTAGATTATTTTATGAATCTGTATAATACCAAATGAAATCCGTTTTTTTCTTTGTAGTATTATGGGGAGTTAACTTTCAAGGTAATCAAAACCAGGCTTTGTTTACAGAGCCACTGCTAATTTTTATTGACTCAGGCCGTTTTCTCTTGCAGTTCTGAATCAGCCAGGGGCCCCCAAAACACAGATTTTTATGAATGGCGCCTGCTCCCCATCTTTATTGCCAACACTGTCAGCGCCGATGCCCTTCCCTCTCCCCGTCATTCCCGACTACAGGTGAGCTGCCCTTTACAAGCCCCATCTTAGAGCTACCACAGCTCTTAGCTTCTAAAATTAGCTTTTCACAGAAACGAATTCAGGAAAATGTAGAGGTTTATTTTTCATTTTAAGGTTAAGTTTCATGATTACACATTCCTATTTATTTTTGTCCAAAATGGAAATCACTTTTAAACTAAGAATTTTTAAAGTACATAAAATTTACAGATGCATATATATGTGTGTATATATGTGTGTATGTATAAAATATAAAGAAAATTAAAAATTTCTTGGGATACCACCTAGAGATAGCCAATTAAACATTTAGGGTCATGCACTCTTAAAAAGTCATACGTGGGTATGTGAACACACATACATACAGTATAAACACACTCATTTGATACAAACATCCACATATACTATATATATATATATATGCTCATTGAATGGACATATTGCCATGCCAGTAAATACAGATCTGTATTTTAATAGTTGTGTAGCATTCGGTGGTGTGGACTTACCATTGTATTGATCTCCTATTTAACATTAGGATTCTTTTGCTTTTGCCTATAAAGTCTTTTTTGTTAAAATTGTAAACCCCTGACACGTGTTCCTGTCGTTCAGCTCCTCCACATACCTCTTCCGGCTGATGGCAGTTGTCGTCCACCATGGAGACATGCACTCTGGACACTTTGTCACTTACCGACGGTCCCCACCTTCAGCCAGGAACCCTCTCTCAACCAGCAACCAGTGGCTGTGGGTCTCCGATGACACCGTCCGCAAGGCCAGCTTGCAGGAAGTCCTGTCCTCCAGCGCCTACCTGCTGTTCTATGAGCGTGTCCTTTCCAGGATGCAGCACCAGAACCAGGAGTACAAGTCTGAAGAATGACTGCTCTCCTGTGAGGCTAGAGACGATGGCACTGTCTGCACTGTCCTGGAAAAAAGTAAAACTTACTGTGTGTGCAAGCAGCCCCACTAGAGCCTTCCAGCCTTCCAGTGTGTTCTAAGAGCAGGCTCCACCTGGGAGCCAGCCCCAATTCATACCAAATCAGGCTCCCTGAACAGCTCTATTTGTGTGTGTACATGGCACCATCATGTTAAGAAAGCGTTCGTTATGGCTAGAGTGTCTTTTTACTCATCTGATACAGGTAATTTAAAAAATTCAGATTCTTGAAGCTGCTCTTTTCATATTGTAATGTTAGGTGTTCTCAGAGGGGAGGTACCTTTGTCTAATCCTCCCACATTTCCAAATAGATCTTTTATTTTTAATAAGCAGGCCCATGAAAAATTGTTGGCAAGAATTAGTGAAATTATTAAAGGCAAGAATTTAGAAGAAAAAGTGCCTTTCACTTTCGATTGCTTTTGTAACACGTCCATTCTGAAATATTCCTTCCAGGTCAAAGGACAGCAAGAGAACAGGTCAGAGTTGCCTAGAGAACACCTTCCTTTTTCTATGCCTTTTCTAACCTTTCCATTCTTTCTATGGAGTCAAGGTTCATCTGCCAAATCTGCCCCCTGGGGAAACTCTCACTACTTTGTCAGTTATAAGTGAAAAGCTTACTTGTTGCTTTTATCTTTTGTATATTGGACTGAGATGTTATTATAGTGTATTATAAAACTGTGAATAGCCAGAACTGAGCAGTATCTTTGGAACACCTGATTCCTCTACTGTGGAAAACTCTTTCTTACACAAGGATCCACTGTGCACAGTTACCTTCATCTGTTTATTTATTGCCATGCAGAGCTCTTAAGGTTTACGGGTAGGAGCTTGTATAAAAAGACAATCTCTGCCCTGAGTTGACAGCTGGCTTAGGAAGGAAGGGCTGACCATGGGGCTACAGTCTCCCTGGACCTCAGTGTTTTCATTTGTGAAGTGAAGGGTTAGAGTTGACAACCAGCCCTTTCCACAAAAAAAGAAAGCAGCTTGACTTTTCAACACGTAGCTACAGCTGGCATCTAGTATTGTCATGTTGCTCTAGGTCCATATTCTAAATTTATTCATTTCCAGTAGCCTAATACAAAGAGTATGTACTGAGCACAGATAAGTCTCTGAATGCAGCCCAGGGCCAAAGGAATTTTGATGATACAGTAATACCTATGTGTTAAGCTAGATTTTTAATTAAAAAAAAAAATGAGTACCAAATTCAAACTGACTCTGGTATCAGAGATAAGATTTGGAATCAGACCTATCCAAAAGGTCCTGAGGTAAGGCTAAGAGCTGTGCTTCCTCGGCTGGGGGCGAGCTGGCAGACACACCGAACAGTGCCTTGGCAGCAGCTCATGGTGCAGGAAGCCCTGGTGGTCACTTGTCTGCTGGGCCCAGATGACACCCTGAGGACTCAGTAACTCTTGCTCTCAACAGAGTAGACTATGTAGGCTCTCCAGGCCCTGGGCGCCAGGGTGGAAGGGGCAGCTTGAACTATGTGTCCGTTCTGCCCTCGCCCACTGCAGACCTTGGCTTTCATGTTGAAATGAACGCACCTGTTTTACCCAAGTCTGGTGGAACAAATGCCCAATCATGTGACCTTAAAGTATACTGCAAAGCTGTAGCTTTAAGTGATTGCTGTTCTGCCACTGCTAACTCTTTGAAATCTACCATTAAAAAAAAGATGAAGAAAAGGAGCTGAGTCTTGGAACATACGGTTGTAAGCAGATCTTTCTTTGCTCAGAGGCCAGGGTTTCAGCCAAGGCTGTAAATGTCAACAATATCTGTGCAAAGTCTTTTAACCTGACTTCTTTTGTAAATTATTAGGCATTAAGTAGCAGCCCAATAATCTGATTTCTAGTTTTAAGTTATTTTCAAAGTAAGTAGTTCTTTTGGGGAAAACCTAAGTTAAACTAATAGTTTTTGCCATAATAACTGCCGACATATGTATTTGCTAAAGGTACTTTTGTATCTGCTGTGTATTATAGCAATAAAATAATCATTTTGTTAGGAAAAAAATCACGTGGTTTTCTTTTGTAATGCACTGATCTGTTATAAACATCATCTTTCTGAATTCTGCATTGTTACATAAATGCTTTAAACCTTTCTGTTCCCTACTGGTAAAGGAAATGCCAGCTCGCTCTTGGAGAGAAAGAGAAAAGAGAACTGTTAAAAACGTTTTTATTTTTTAGTAAGCAAAATTTTACGAAACGTCAGGTTGATCCGTGGAGCCAGAACCTTCTTTCTCACGGGAAGACTGTGGTACCAGTGCGTGTTGGTCGGGTGGTTCATCATGAGTAAGCTCCCGTGGGCCAGCGGCAGCCTGACCACCGCTACCCTCCGCGAGGGGTTTCTCCCACGGGAATCCTTATGCCGGAAGACAAAGTCTCTGCAGGCACCGAAGGAGACAGAGGCGATGGGACTCCCAGGGGCCAGTTCTCTTTCATCGTCTCGGTGTTCCCCGATGTGGTCACAGCCATCTTTATACCTGCAATGAGAAAACAAGCCCAGTGCATGAAAACCACCATCTCCTGAAACGCCTGCACTGCCAGCCCTCATTTGCTCGGTGTGAAACTGCGCTCTGTGCACAGTTGTCGGTGCCGTGTTTCTGTGAGGGCCTGAGGTCCACAGCGGGCTCTACGATGAGCCAACCCTGATGATGGGGTTTTTTTGACCTATTTGTTCATGTGACTTATTTATTTATGAGACAAGGTCTCGGTCTGTCACCCAGGCTGAAGTGCAGTGGCACAATCATAGCTGACTGCAGCCTTGACCTCCTGAGCTCAAGTGAGACTCCCACCTCAGCCTCCCACCTAGCTAATTTTTTTCTTTTCTAGAAACAGGATTTTGCCATGTTACCCAGGCTGGTCTCAAACTCAGGCTCAAGCGATCCACTCTCCTTGACCTCCCAAAGTGTTGGGATTACAGGCATGAGCCACCATGCCTGACCAGTTCATATGCTTTAAAACTGAAAACACCCTCTCAGCAAACTGACACAATAACAGAAAACCAAATACCACGTTCTCGCTCATTGGCGGGTGTTGAACAATGAGAACACATGAGCAGGGAGGGGAACATCACACACTGGGGTCTGTTGAGGGGTGGCTAAGGGAGGGACAGCAGGGAGGTGGGGAGGGTAGGGAGGAATAACTCAGGGAGAAATGCCAGATACAGGTGACGGGGGGATGGAGGCAGCACACCACCTTGCCATGTGTGTACCTGTGCAACAATCTTGCATGATCTGCATATGTGCCCCAGATCCTAAAGTACAAAATAAATAATTTAAAAATTAAAAAAAGAAAAAAACCCTGAAAACACCCAAAGCCAAAATCACATCTTACTGTAGCCCCCTTGGCTGATCTATGTAAGCCTTTATCACGTGATTTCGCCCTGCATTTAAAGGCCACATTCCTTGCACGGTCTGGCCCGTGTCCACCTCTGAGCTCATGCCATCTCCTTCTTTCCCTCATTCACTGCTTTCCGGCCACCCCAGCAGGATTTCTGCTTCACAGACACTCCAGAGTCCCTCTGCTCTTCCTCCAGATGTCTGTGGCTGGCACTCTCCATTTAGTTACCAGCTCAAACGCACTGCCTCAGCCCTCCTCTAACCACTCCATCTAAAGTGACCTTCCCTGAAACTCACCCAGGGTTCTCCGCTAGGGTGATTCTGTCTGAGAGGTCAGATATTGGGGGTGGGGAACACTACTGGCATTTAGTGGATGGAGGCCAGGGATGTGCCCAACATCCTGCAAGGCACAGGTCAGCCCCAACAACAAAGAATGATTCAGCCCCAAACGTCCACAGTGCTGCCGCTGAGAAACCTTCCCCTAAACACAAACTTCTCAGCCATTCTCAGTCGGACCGGCCTGTTTAATGTTTTGTAAGATGGTTATCGCTGTCTGAAACTGCCTAGGGTCAGGCACAGTGGCTCATGCCTGTAATCCCAGCACTTTGGGAGGCCAAGGTAGGAGGATACTTGAGCCTAGGAGTTTGAGACCAAGCCTGGGCAACACAGAAAAACCCTGTCTCAAAGAAAAAAAAGAAAAAGAGAAGAAGAAAGTATCTCATTTGACTGTATGTTCAGGAGTTAATCACCTCTCACTTCCTGCTCCAGGAAGACCGATGCTGGCGTTGTTCCAGTCCTAGAGCCCTGGGGCACTAAAGAATGATGTGTACCAATGAACCAAACAGGGTGGAAGCCTAAACACTTCCTTTTGGAGGAGATAGAAGCCTTGAAACATTGAGTCCACTAAACAGACAGGGTGTCGTCACCTGTTGATAAGCACGAAGTTGAAGGTCTGTCCAGTCACCACAGAGACACGATCCCGGATGCGCTCTAGAACTGGGATCCATGGCTTTGGAGACAGCGTGAGGCCTGAGAATGTGTAGGTCAGCCCAGCGTCGCCGTACGTTGCCTGCTTCCTGGGCACACTGTGCCACTTCCCAAACACCTGGACCCTGGCCAGCACCCCTGGGCAGAGGAAACATGGCAGTTCCTTTCCTCCCGACACCCCTTCCAGAAATCCAGACAGCACTACCACCGCCACCACCAGAAATCCAATGCCCCACACACAATCCCTGGGTATTGCAGTAAGACAGGAATAACATTTCCCTGTCATTCCATGCATTTTCTTTTTTTTTGAGACAGAGTCTCGCTTTGTCACCAGGCTGAAGTGCAATGGTGCAATCTCGGCTCACTGCAACCTCTGCCTCCCAGGTTCAAGTGATTCTCCTGCCTCAGCCTGAGTAGCTGGGATTACAGGCGCGTGCCACCACCACGCCTGGCTAATTTTTTGTATTTTTAGTAGAGACGGGTTGGTCAGGTCACCAGGTTGGTCAGGCTGGTCTCAAACTCCTGACCTCATGATCCACCTGCCTCGGCCTCCCAAAGTGCTGGGATTATAGGCATAAGCCACCATGCCCTGCCTTTCCATGTAATTTAAAACCCCTCCTCAATCATTTATTTTGGCTTGCCCCAAATTTTCTTTTGTTTTGAGACAGGGTCTCCCTGTGTCACCCAGGCTGGAGTGCAGTGGCACAATCTCAGCTCACTGCAACCTCCACCTCCCAGGCTCTAGAAGTTTTCCCGCCTCAGCCTCCTGAATACTGGGACCACAGGGGCATGCCACCATGCCTAGCTAACTTTTTTCGTATTTTTTTTTGTAGACAAAGGGTTTTACCATGTTGCCTAGGCTGTTCTTGAACTCCTGGACTCAAGCGGTCCACCCACCTCGGTCTCCCAAAGTGCTGGGATTACAGGTGTGCACCATTGCACCCAGCCAATTGCCCCAAACGCTCATGTGAGAACAGTGAGTCTTGTCCTATCAGTAGGAAACATGGTCCTGGGCTATTGTTTTAGTGAACACTGTAACTTAACTGCCTGAACTACAGTAAGAGCAGAATAAAGAGGCTGAAATTGGAGACAATAAAGTCAGTTTGCAGGCTAGGATGGTTTTGCCAGCTGTGGGGCCTAAGGGGGTATGGTCCCATTAAAGATGGGGCTCACATAGCTGGGGTCTCTTGTGGGCATTTCTTTTTTTAAAGAGATGGTGAGCCAGGCGTGCTGGCTCATGCAGGCAGTCCCAGCACTTTTAGAGGCCAAGGCAGGAGGACTACTCAAGACCAGGAATTTAGTTAACAGCCTGGGTAACACAGTGAGGCCTATAAATAAGTTAAAAATTATCTAGGCTGGTGGCGTAGGCCTGTGGTCCCAGCTACTTAGGATGCTGAGGCGGTCAAGGCTGCAGTGAGCCAGGACTGTGCCCCTGGCCCTCCAGCCTGGGCGACAGAGTGAGACCCTGTCTCAAGGCATAAAAGGATAAAGCGACAAGGGATCTTGCTATGTAGCCCAGGCTGGACTTGAACCCCTGGTTTCAAGTGATCCTCCGCCTCAGCCTCCAGAGTAGCTGGGATTACAGGTGTGTGTCACCATGCCTGGTGTGTGGGCTTTTCTTTTCTTGTTTCATTTTGAGACAGAGTCTCACTCTGTTGCCCGGGCTGGAGTGCAGTGGCACGATCCCAGCTCACTGCAACCTCCGCCTGCCGGGTTCAGACGATTCTCCTGCTTCAGCCTCCCGAGTACCTGGGATTACAGGCACGTGCCACCATGCCCAGCTGGTTTTTTTTTTTTTTTTTTTTTTTTTTTTTTTTTATAGTTTAGTGGAATTGTATTTTAGGGGTTTCACCATGTTGGCCAGGCTGGTCTGGAACGCCTGACCTCAAATGATTCACCTGCTCAGCCTCCCAAAGGGCTGGGATTACAGATGTGAGTCACTATGCCCCCGCCTCCTGTGGGCTTTTCTATGCCTCTCTGCCAGGTCCTTGTGTCCTCATTACAGGGTACAGCCGTGGTTCTCAACATCTGCTCCCTGGGCCAGCAGCACCAGCAGAGCCAGCAGCACCAGGAATCTCCCTAGAAACTAAACCACAGGGGTGGGGCCCAGCAACCCAAGTCCTGCCAACAGCAAGTCCACCCGGTGATGCTGAGAACCACTGGCTATTTGTCATCTCTCCTATGAGACCAGTGATTCGCAACCCTGACTACCCATGAGAATCACCTGGAAGCTTCTTAAAAACACGAATGGTCAGCCTGCACTTGCAGCAATTCTGATTGAAGTGGTCTGCAGTAGAACCTAGCACGTTTTTTCACTTTGTTTTGTAAACTTTTCCAGAAGATGCTTATCAGTAGCCAAGTGGAGATTCACTTGAGTCATCTATCAGCTCCCAGGGGACAGGCAAATCCAGTTTTTTTCAAATTTATGTCCTAAGCACCTAAGGGGCTTAGCCCAGAGGTGCTCAAAGAATATTGGTTGAATCCATTAGTGAACCCATCAGTGAATAAAGATCCTGAGTTCAGATTTCTCCAAACATACGATCATTAATTGCACCAAACAAGCCCTCAATACATACATACATACATACACACACACACCCCTCTGCTTACCTGTAAAATATTCTACTTCTTTCTCCAACTCTTGGAAAATCTCATCTGCCTCAGCTTTGCCGAACAGC